GATGAGAAATATGGTTAAGGGTCTACCACATATTCATCATCCAAATAAATTTCTTGTCTCCATGAAAAGCAAGAAAGGCATTCACGAAAGAAGCAAGTTTTCGAGCATCATGACTACTTGAATTAGTGCATACGGATCTCTGGGGAACAATCCAGCCCGCATCTTCTGGTAAAGGTAATTACTTCATGCTATTTATTGAGGACTTCTCTTACAAAACACCAGTGTACTTTCTTAGGGAAAAGATTGATGCATTTGAGGCTTTCAAGAATTTCAGGGCGATGGTGAAAAATTTAAGTGTCACAAAATGAAAACCTCATATCGGATCATGGTAGTGAATATATTAGAAACACATTCAAGAATATATGTAAAGATCATGGTATTTATCATTCTTTAATAGCAAAGAGGAAGAGTAGGACTCATGAAAATGACTCGAAGTATTTTGAAAACTGAGAACATGCAAAAGAAGTTCTAGGCTGAAGCTGCTCAGTGTGCTCTATATTTGTTGAATCGCTGTCCCATCTAAGTGTGCAAAATGACACCTAAAGAAGCATGGAGTGGATTCCAGCCAAGTACATCATATTTTTGGATTTTCGAGAGCGTTGCTTTATCTCATGCTCTGAAAGAAAGGATAAAACTAGATGCAAGAGAGAAATATATCTTAGTTGGCTGTGTTTAAGATCAAAATGTAATAAGCTATACAACCCAATGAATAAGTAGGTGATCACTAGTGGAGATGTTGAGTTCGACATTGGAATTGGCAAAATCAGCAAGATTATACTATAATTTTTTTATTTTCCTTGAACAAGTTGATGTGATTCGGCCTCAACTATCACCATCAACTCCACCTCCAAATTATGGTCAAGATATAAGTTCATCTTCATCATTTTCAAGTAAAATACCGCATCATTTTAGAAGTCTTAGGGAGATTTATTTTGATACGGAGGAGTTATGTTGACATCTTGAAAAATTAACTTTGTTTTGTCTATTTGCCAATCCTGCAGTTATTGATTTCGATGACGCCATTCGAGATGATCAATGAAAGAAAGACATTAAAGAAATGATAAAAGCAATTAAGAAGAATAATTAGGCAATTGGAAGCTAGTTGAGAGTGGAC